AAAAATTTTTCAAAATAATTGGAGGCATTTATTTCTCTTACATTCTCACTCAAATAATTTTCCATCAGATAACTCACTCAGGTAAATAGATATTTTATATATATAATAATATATATAATTTCTTCATCTCTAGCCATCTTCCATTCTCCTCTTGGCATCTTGGGCACGCACGCACATGTGCCCGGCGTGAGTTTTAAGCCACCTGGTCCAGGATACGAACCATGGTTGGCTACATGGGAGTCCAGCGACATAGCCATTACGCTAACTGCTGGTTCCCTATATAGAGACTTTATATATACCCCTGAACTTTTTATATGCCTCTATCTCTAGCAGGGTATGTATTTGTCACTAAAATTGCTTTGTCTCTAGTGCTTTCATTTTCTGGGGTTTTTTTGTATTGTTTTGTTTTGTTTTGTTTTGTTTTTGTCAGAGGGCATGTGTGCTTACCAGAGAGCAGAGAGAGAGAAAACCCGTTCCCCATGGGCATACCACAATCCCTTCTCCTCCTTTTCTCCATCCTCTGTGATACTGGGCATGTGTGCACATGCATGCCTGGTATGTTTTTCTTTGATTTTGTTTTTCGTTTTTTGGGGGTTTTTTTTTTTTTTTTTTGGAGAGGTTTTTGCTACAGGTCGTGTGTGCGCGCCAGAAAGACAGAACGAGACAAAGAGACAGAAAGCGAGAAATCACCCCACGGGAATGGTCATGCCATGATCCCTTCTCCTCCATTCTCCTCTCAGGATATTGGGCATGCATGCACATGAGCCTGGCGAGAGTTTTAAGTCACCCGGTATGGGACTGGAACCGCAGTTGACTACCTGGGAGCTCAGCGACATAGCCATTACGCCAACAGCTGGTCACCCCGGTATGTTTTTTTAAGCTGCTAGGGCCAGGACTCAAACCACAGTCTGCCATGTGGAGTAGGGCTCTCTTAACCACTAGGCTACCGGCCAGCTTTAGCGCCTGCATTTTCTTAATTTTCCTTTTGTTTCCCCCCTTAGGTTGGATCAATGCTTGTCAAGCTAAAATAACTAGTCACTGGGAAAATCTTCCATTCTGGTCATCTCGGTTTCTCAATGCACAGAAACCCAGGATGCAGAGCCTTGGAATGACTGCTCTACTGTCCAATAAGAATCGCCTTCCGAGGAGCACAATCTTGTTTTGCCATTAGTGGCATCAAACCTAGAGGGGAAAAAGCAGGAGAAGCGTTAAGTCTTCCTTGGCCCCAATATTCAGCATTGTTCTCTCAGAATTTGAGAGCATATCCGTGCCCACTCCTCCCTTTGTGACATTTCTTTATGCCCTGTTCAATAAAAATGAATCTCCAGTAACATAAAACACTAGAGATGAAGTAATACACTGTGCTTTCAATTGGATGAGGTAAGAAAACACCCTTGACTGCCTAGGGAAACTTTCCAGTTCCTGGCTACTAGTCTGATCCCCATAATACGTCGAAATTGTCTCAAGGTTAAGATATTGGTCTCATTTTTAAGTCTAAGTACTTTAATGCCAGAGGAGCCTTACCTTTTTGTACTAACATGTTTAACATATTCAGGCTGCGGTCATAAATCTCAGGCTCCTCTAGGCTGAGTCTATTTCAACTAGTAATGGTTTCCAATCTTCCTGCTAGTACATTGATGCCTAGTAAAGATCTTGGCTAGGGGCCTAATCTGCAGAGGTAACAGAGAAATGCGAGGATTATAAAAGCAAGCACCCTGAATCCTATGCATTAGAGAATTTGATAGACCTCCTGAGAGAAACAATAAGGAGAATGTTCATCCAAATGATTTTTTTAGATGATTCCCTCCTTCCCACTGAAGAGAGCTTCTGTCAACCTCTGGCGTGTCTCACCAAAGGATAGAAGAATGCGGAAGCACAGCTGGCTCTGTCCTGATCGTTAGTGAGAAGACCCACTTTTGACACATTCGTGAATGGGGACCACTAGATAATCCTCAGATGTATCCCTGGGGTAATTCGTTCTAAGTTTTCAAAGCAAACGGTAAGCCTTCAACAAGCTAACTACTCCACTGGGAACCTCACCCAAGAACAGTAAATATTAGGGGGGCTGAACCTTCAGCCACCAGCCAGCCGTGGACATGGTTGTGACAAAATCAGTGTCACCTGTAAGCCTGGCAAGATGGCCACAGCCACGAATAATCATTATGACAGACACAATAGTTCAATTTCCGATGGGACCAGCAGTTAGCGTAATGGCTATGTTGCTGGACTCCCATGTAGTCGACCACGGTTTGAGTCCCAGACCCGGTAGCTTAAACTCACACCGGATGCGTGTGTGTGCATGCCCAAGATCCCAAGAGGAGAATGGAGGAGAAGGGATTGCGGTGTAGCCATTCCCCCTGGGGGGTGATTTAATAAAGTGAATGCTAATTAGCCTAAAGCCATCATAATATCATTCCCCTTGACAAGAGAGGATTTGGCCATGGATGTGGAATGCAATCCGAGCCACTCAGAAGTGGTAGGTGAAAGTGTTCTGTTAGGGAGTCCCTCCCACCTGCCTCTATGAGAGATACCCTTGGGTTAGTTAAGATGCTGTTCTGGTTTGCCTGAGACCCAGCCACATCCTTCCTGACTGCTATATAATAAACTGCTCACAATTTAATACATCAATAATTCGCATGGGGCTCTGCTAAACATAACTCATGCTCCTTATGATATAAATTGGGGTTACTTGATAGTATTCAGAGGGTGGCTAGTATGGTCTAAAGGGTCCAAAAAAAAAAAATCTCTATTTAATAGTCTGGTGCCTGGACAGAGAGGTTTGGAAGGCTGAGATCAGCTAAGATCTAAGATGGCCAAGCCTCTCTACATCTGGGGTCTATTTGTAGTCTTTCCACATGGTCCGTAAGCATGGTAGACAGCTTACACAGTGGGTCAGGACCACAAAGAACAGGATTCTAAAAGATCTAGGAATAAACTGCAGAACATCACTTCTATCACATTCGGTTGGTCAAGGCAAGACACTAAGCAAGAACTAAGCAAGAAAGAGAATTATTAGGTTTATAAAGTCCTTGTAAGAAAACAGTCAGGCTTTTGAAAATTAAGTGTGCAATCATCATAGGACCCACTCTTAGGCTAAATGATCTTTTTAAAAAAGAAAAAAAACAAGAAAGCAGTGTTTTCTATTGGGTGCATGTGCTCACAGTGTCAGAGAGAGACAGAGAGACAGAAAGTGAGAAATCACTTCCCGGGGAGGAGATGGCCACACCACAATCCTATCTCCTTCATTCTCCTCTTGGGATCTTATGTACCCATGCACACGTGCCCGAAGTGAGATTTTTTTTTTTTTCCCCAGTCTGGGACTCAAACCACTGTCAACTATGTAGGAGTCCAGTACCATAATCATTATGCCATCTGCTGGTCTTACTAAATGGTAATTTATGTTCACACAAAAACCTGTGTGAATTTCCAGTACAGCTTTATCTGTAGCAGCTTCAAACTGGAAACAACCTAGTTATCCTTCAGTGGGTGGATGGTTAAACAACCATGGTACATTCATACCATGGAATATTACCCAACTGAAAAAAATGAATGAACTACAAAGACATCTAACAATCTGAATGAAAGTTCTGGAAACGTAAGTGGAAAAAGCCAATTCCAAAGGATTAGATGCTGTTGGATTCCATTTATATTTTAAATTATGGAAGTTTAGCAATGACATCATTTTCTAATTTTCAGATTCCAGGTCTACAACATATCTTGTATGTTAATCAGGTCCTGCCCTAGTCTCTGAGTTTGTGGTTTGAAGGGATGGTCTGAATTCATCTACTGGGGAGAGGAATATATATAGATAACCAGAGCAGTGGCCATGGGGACGTTTCTGTCTATTCCTGGGTTCCAGCCAACTGCTTAGGCACACACACCTGCCTTCCACCCCACAGCATGGGTCACCTTTCCCACGCCAAATGGAAGCCACATTCAGTGAACACCAACCGGGGACCCCACCTTGCACCTTGGGTCTGAATTATTTTCCTTGAAATTTGCCAGGCCCAGATTTAATGACTAGCAGTCCTTTGCACATTTCCTTATGGTGCACACGGGAGGTACCGTGGACCATCTTGCGGGGCACTGCCAGTCCTCTTAACTATTTAGAACACTTAGAATCGAGATACTCGGAACTTCCTGCCCGGTTCTGAGTTTCTGGGAAAAATGAGAAAAGCTAGAGAGCCAGGGATGGGGTGAGTCATCCTGCAACCTGGGACCCCAAGCAGTACTCCTCCGGCAACGTAAAAGCAGACTCCTCCGCAGGCGGTACAACAGGTTTGCAGAAATCGCTCCTCTAGGTCGATGCTCCCTGCAGGGCGACGCCTGGAACTGGAAATACAGGGCTGTCTCCTAACGGAGAGGTCAGCCCATCGTTCCTCCCGGCATCCTCGGTTGGCATTAGGATTCCTGGGAGATTCGGGAGGGCGGAGGTGAGGACATCGGGTGTGCGTGGAGGCTGAGAGGAG